AGATGGAAACTTTAGTAATTTTTAATAATGTTTTTTTTAGTACTTGATTTTAAAAATGGGAACGTTGTATTTAATAAAAAGTAATGTTGCTGCCTTTTCCGGTTAAAGCCTGTTTCTTAAAGGGTCGTAAATCAAACCTGCGCCACCAAATATCTTCTCGCTCGAGGCGACAAACTTGAAAAACTTGAGGCTTGACAAAATTTTAAATTCATTTCGATTTACGCTGCACCAGTTGAGAGGACTTTCAGTTGTATTTATTTTTATTTTTTATTGCGGTGCAATAATTCCTTTTTGAAAATTGCATCGGGGCTGCAAATGTAATAGCCGTTTTATGAAAAAAAAACAAAAAATTACACGTATCTAAGAAAAGGGAGAATAAAAACTAACGATGCATCCCGTTTTTTCAACAGACCTTTGACAAATAATATTCGATAATTACATAATTTTTACCTTATTAATGGTTATCTTTTAACGCGCAAATAGTCGCTTCACTTTATAGCCACATACCTAGAAATACCTATTGAAGTATCTTACTGTTTGACTTTAAAGTACAAAAGAAGGGAGATGTAAGGGAAAATTTTAAGGAAGCATCTCCCATGGCATAAAATATTGGCTACAGTTTATCATTTTGTTTATCAGTGCACTTGCACAATATTCGCATTCGCGAAAGCTCCGCATTGATTATTGCGAATGCGAATGTTAAAATTAATGCGGAAGCTCCGCGGTTGCGAATGCGAATGCGAATGCGAATATTCGCAACAACCCTGAAACTAAGTATGAAAATCGATGGATAAATAAACATGTTGTGAGTGATCAAATGAAAATGTCCAATAATTTTTGGTATGAAATACGAGTAGGAAATACTGTTACTCATACGTACGGTGACCATCCGTCATGTATTATATGGGACAGTAATCCTTTTTTGGCCAATTGTCCTGGTAATTTTTTTATTTTTTTACGGGACCCCAAATGTTCTGTATTCCTTGCTTGCCAAATGTTCAACTTGAACAGGAAAAAAAACAAATGCAATTATTGCTTTCAAGCAACATCATCATTTCGAGCGCTTTCTGGTTGCGAAAATGAAAGAAAATTTTAGTCATTTTCTGTTCATTTCCGAATACGAAAACCACAATTTTTTAATATTTTTGGTTACGTTAATGAACGAAAATTGTAGCGCTTTCTGTTCGTTTCCGAATACGGAGAATTGTACGAGATCAAACTGTCGGAAAAATTTACGTTTCTATGCTAGGGGGAAGTCATTGTTTTTTCATCGCCGTTTAAATTGACGTGGCAACCTGAATGTTGGGTATAGTGCTATGAACAGTATTTCGAAGTAAAAATATAATGAAAATTTATTTAACACGGTAGTTTTCAGTGGCAAAAATAAAAATCAATAAATCTAATTTTCTTTAAGGAGCTAATATGCAAATGAGTTTTTTAGCTCTGTGCTCCTGCTCCGCTTCAGCCAAAATCCTTTGCTCATTGCTCCTTTGATTCGCTCCGAAGCCCTGTTTTCAACAAGAAAATTTTCCTCCAAACAGTAAATAGTTTTATTTGACACTCTCAAGATAACCTAGTTTCCTAGGCTTATGTAAAATTAACATTTAGGAAAATTCTAAACATTTGTTAGGCAACAAAGAAAAATTAGATATTATCCCCAAAACAAAATCGCAATATCTTGTTACTACACATCTTTAATATCTACTCACTCAAAGCTTTCGTCTCAATACCAGATTTTTTAATGTGTTCTAATATGTTATTAACACTCACTCACTCTCAATCGAATTTCCAAATGTACAAAATTTAAGTACACTTTGACAACTGATTGTTTACTACATAGCAGCCCTTTGCAAAGACAAAGTTACCCCTCGTGTGTTTTAAAGTACTACGTAAAATATGGCATCAAAAAAGTAATGTAAACACGTGTAAAAAATTTGTTTTGGCCGCAAGACGGGTATTGGGGTCATAGTACTTTGTATGGAAAAAATGCGTGACACCTTCAGCAAAAAGAAAAATTATTAAAAATCATCAATATATTTCAGCCACTTGAAATTCGCACCTTGTTATACGAAAAGTTTACCAAAATTCTGAGTAAAATTTTTTTTAATTTTGGTGAAAAATTTTAAATTTTTTATTTATATGTATTAAACATTAAATAAACTAAAAAACTGTAATGGATACTGGTCAATATAAGACGAGTCTAAAATTTCTGCCGCCAGTGCATAATCATCAGCGCGGTCAAGCCGCTAGCTCATACTTTTAGCTTCATCTACCATAGAAAATATAGTGTGTACGACACTCTGCTAGTATTTTAAACCAAATATGTCAAAGACGCTCCCCCAAAGCTTTAGAAGTTGTCATTGGTACTTTTTTTAATTTGTCGATTTCATTTAAGTCATTTAGGCTTTTTAGTACCATAATAGTTAATTTTTTTAAAGATTTTATAAATATATTTATTTTGTGTCTAAAACACCTGACCCTGGACATGCGTTTAGAGCTTTTTAAGACTTTCTATGCCATTTATATGAAGGACACTGGGTAAAATAATTCTTTGGCTAACATTGGTTTAAAGCAGTCAAGACCAAAGAAAATCTTGCGCTAAAAGCTTTTTTAAGCTTTCTATAATTTATAAAGCAGTGATGTGTACTGCCTTGCCCGCGGACAAATCTCTTTTAAGCTTTCTATACATTATGTATAGGCGCGTGCAGAGTAAAAGTTCTCGCTGACCATCGCTGCTATAAAGTAGTGATGAGAAAAACGATCCACTCGTGGTGAGCTTTTTTAAGCCATGATCACAGCGATCTTTTACCCCGCGCGCTCATATAAAAACCGCAGAGAGATTTAAAACGTTTTACCCATGGGATTTGTTTTGATCGTTACCGATTAATTTGTAGTTACCAGTCGCATCTAAAACCTATTCGATGAAGTATGCTTTTTAAAGTTTTCATCAGTAAAAGCTGCCTCTGCTTGTTACTGACTTATATGGAAAGCACTGTGTGAAATTTCACTCCTGTAGATACTGGTGTAAAGTGAAGTAAACGACCCCTTATTAAAGCATGCGTACTAAGCTTTTTAAAGCTGTACGTTAAAATCCTTATTTTCTCAACACTAGTCTCAAGAACTCTTAAGAAAAAAGGAATTCATGATGGAAGTTTTAGTAAAAAAATATCTTCTTTTTTTTGGTTTTCGAGTTTTATTATTTTTTTTTTTTGCAATTTTCATGATTACAATTTTGTTTTTTTTTTTTTATATCGCTTTACATTTAAAATATACGTTTGCTTTAATATCATTTTCAGTTTCTTTAATTTTATGTTGCTTTTTTTAATTTTTTTTTTTAGTTTTACAAAAGAAATTCGTAAATTTATATTGTACAAAATAAATTACATACTAGCAGAATAATAGAAAACGGAAGAATGAATGAAGTATGAAAATTAATTGTTTGTATGTAACTATCATAGCGGAGAACGGTTAGTAAGCGCGACTGTGTGAGCAAACCTATTGCTACATTGCAGTGTTGATTTTTTTTTTAAGTTTAAATACATATTTTTCTAGGATACACGCCTTAGCAAATTTTAATAACATAATTTTCTTTTCAAGTAGTGGAAAATAATTATATTAAAAATTCATAAATTTAAATGAAAAAATGTTGACTCACTTATTAAAAAAAAAAAAAAAATAGGGACCGCGGCTGATAATATAATGTAAATTTAATATTTTTTCAGAAAAAATCTTTTTCAGCTTGAAACAAGTATGTATAACCTGTTTTTAGTTTTACAATCTTGATCAAAAATAATAATTTTGAATCAAAATTTATTTAAAAAAATTATAAAAACAAATTAATTTAAAAAAAAATTTAGGACATGAAAATTAACAAAGTACTCCCAAGAAAAATTTAAAAAATGTACATTTGTTGTACAGAAGGGGAAAATATTTTCATTAAAAATTCATATAAATGAAAATCTGTTGACTTTCACTTATTGAAAATAAAAGTCCGAAAATAAACAAAAAATTGTTTTGCGTTTAGTACATTGAATGTATGGATTAAACCCCTAACAAATTCTTTAAATGACTCTAAATTCATAGGATTCGACTGAATTTTAAATTTAACATTTTTCATAATTGTTCTTTTCAGCTTGAATATGTATTTAAATTTGTATGTATGTTTTTTAATTTTTAAATAAAAAAAATTGACAGGAAAAAATTTTTTGTTTTGAATAAAAAGAACTTTGTAAAAATGATTCATTTCTTAAACCAAATTTACAATAAAAAATTTTATTTAGATAAAAAATATTCGAAAAAAGTTTAGGTTTAAAAAAAATTTTAATTACAAAAGAAAAATTAATTAACATTTTAATCTTTTCTGCATTCATTATGATTATCTAAAATAGTTTTCTTCACTTTTTATAGTTTTACTCAACCTACACGCATAAATTTTCAAAAATATTAATATCTTTGCTTTTGGACATTTAAAATTTATATAGTTTTTTTTTTTAATTTTATTTCTATAGCCTTAGAATCGCTAATGACAGCAGTGCTTGTTGTTTGTGTTTACAATTTTTGATTTTACAGAATTTATACATTTAAATATATATTACATACTTTGTTTTTGTAAATATTTGTTTACTATAATTCAACACATTTCTCTCTCGCGGTAAGTATATTTTTAAAAAGCAATTCGGAAAAAGAGTTTTCTGCTTAACGATCACACCTGTTACTTGATTTTCGGAAAATTTCACAAAATTCCTGAAGAATGTAGTTTTTTCTGCTTGCAAGCTTTTAGTTTACCTAAGGTTCCCTAGCGCTCTAAGAGCCAATTTCACAGTGCGTAGTTAACTCAGAATCGACATTTAACTAGAGATTTTCAGTACAAAATTCTGTAGTTAACTCCCGATTCTGAGTTAACTACGCATTGTGAAATTGGCCCTAAATGAGCTTTTTTATCTGCTCCTGCAATTTTCTGAATATTTTCAAATTAATATATATATTTTTTTTATATGTACTTTGCGTTCAACATTTTTTTTTAATATCTATGATGGCTTGTAATGAGTTTGATTTCTTCTTTTCCGACAAGTGCATAGGCTGTAGTTGCAAGTGTTTGCTCATGTTGTTGCTAATTTAATATATTTTTTTAATTTTTTTCGCACTGCCTACTTTAAAACTGACTCTGTATTACAAATTACATAACTAAACTTCTAACGCTTTCGTGTTTACTTCTTCATTCCGTGCAATCTTCTTTTCTTCCTTTCATTCTTTCTTCCTTACTTCCTCTCTTCCTGTAAATTCTCAAAACAATTTAACTGTTCTCTGCTTACTTGCCGAGGTGCAGTTTACCAAGTAGATTGGCTGCCTGATTGCCGGCAGATTCTTGAGCAGTTGCGGCGCCATCGTGGATGGTCTAAAAGTAAGAGACATTTTTTTAAGAAAATCTGAAAATTCTAAAGTAAACTGCTTATACCTTTTCCAAGTCCTCACGCTTATGACTGACAAATTGATTGGCTTCGTTCATCTTCTGGTCGACCGTTTGGCTAGTCTGCTTAACGACACCGTCAATAGCTTGTTCCGCTTCCTTCATTTTCGTATCGACTGTCTGTTCGGCGGCCTTTACGCTCTTGTTGATCGCATCGTTGGCGGCCTTCTTGGTTTGATCGACGGCATTGGCCGCGGCCTGGTAGAAAAAAAAAGTGGATGAATTAAAATTTGAAAACTATTTCTTCCTTATTTTCAATGCAAATTCTCATTTTGACTTTGTATTATTTGGGTAGCATACAAAATTTTAGTACACTTTCTAGTACTTTAATATTTTTCAAAATTGACTCACAAAATTTTAAGAGTTTTCAAATAAGCTTTCCCTATTTGGAATATTTTAAATAATACGCTCCGTTTGGGCAATTTGGTTTTTAACATATTAAAAAAATATTAGAAATTTTAGGTTCACTAAAAAATGTTCTGAAATATCAAAAAAAAAAAACCTTGACTAAAGAAAACATAGAAAAATTTACTATACTTTTGCTAACAAGTAGTTTTATATTTAAAAAAAAAAATTAAGACGTGCAAATGCAACATTTCAACACTTTCAGTTCTGTTTTTTTGGTATTCTTATTAAAAGATTTAATAGGGTTTTTTTAACTAAAACCAAATTGTACTAAAATTTTTATAGAGTTGAATATTTGAAATCAATAGCACAATAATTTTCAAATGGGCCCCAAACTATTACTTCAGCTTCTTCAAGTTTTTTTAATACAAACTTTAAATAATTTTGAGTTTCGGTCTATAAAAATACTATAAAACACTAAAGACTTTAAATAAAAAGCATTCTTAACCCTCTAGTAGGCCAATTTTTTTATGAGTTGAAAAATTCAGGAATGGGTGACTTTAGCACGAGAAATCCAAAAATGATGTCCATTTCGATCTGTGACAGTAACTTTTTCCTAGAGGGGAGAAAACCCAAGACCGTCTGGAGACGGGCTCGCCGGTATACTTACACATATTTTCAGCTTTCTCTTACACAATGTTGACCAACGAACCGGCATCCCGTCTGCAGACGGTCAAAAATGCAAACTGGGTTTTTTTATGTCGGCAAGCCGGTCTGTAGACGGTCTGTGTTCGATTGCGATTTTCTCCACTTCGAATGGTGACATAATTATAAAACTTATACTAAAATACGGTGCTTTTAACAACGAAATCCACCAAATTTTTTATATCAAAAAATTTTTCAAAAGAAAAAATTTCTTTAATTACGAAATTACTAAATAGCAAGAAATAATTAATTTTAACCGTGTTTTCAAAATCTGTAATTCAACTGCCGATTAAAATAAAACGGATTGACATAACGGATCAAAATTTACACCGCCGTAAAGGTACTATTTTTATCTAAAGATCGCGCCTTACGAATATAGAAAAAAATTATTATAGGTGCACTAAAAAGGTGTTTAGTTAACGACCGTCTGGAGGCAGTTCAGCCTACTAGGGTTAAAGCAACATTTTTCGTTTGCAGAAAAAATGTGTTCTAAAATTTTTGTTCAAAATATGTGTAAAATTTTTCGTCACAAGCCTTTAAAACCTTAACTTCCATATTGCAAAATTGTGTTTGTTGCGAAATTTAAAAGAGTTAATTACCAAAAAAATTTGGCTCTCAATTTTCATAAAACTATTTTTTTGACTTAAAAACATGCAAAAACTTGTGTTAAAAATTTAGTGGAGAAATTTTTGATATAAAAGTTTTACGAAAAAAATTTTGTACCAAACATTGAATAGGTTCCTAAAAATTTACGAAAAATTTTGTTTCAAATATTTTCAGGAGCAAAAAGTTTTACATCTTAAAAATTGTTGCCAAAAATATTGTACTGAAAATTAAGTACAGAAAAATTTTCAAAGAATCTAGTTAATGAAGAACGAAAATTTTTGGATTTAAAATTTTTTGGTATTTATTTTAGATCAAAAGTTATGCACAAAAATCGTTCGATATGTGTTTTGCTGAGTGAATTTAGTTCAAAAAATTTGCTGCAAATTTTAGACTGCACTCGAAAGTTTCCAAAAAATTTTGCTGAAAGCTTTTAGTTCGTAGCTTTCAGAGAGCAAACTTCTTTTGAAACAAATCTGTTTGCCAAAAATATTGTACTACAAATTTAGTACACGAAAATGTACTAAAACTTTTGTTAAAATAGTTTTAGTTGGTAACACTCAAAGAGTAAAATTTTTGGCTTGAAAAATTTTGTTTTTGATAAAAGTTTAGTACAGAAAAAAATGCGCATTTGTTTCCGAAAACATTGCACCAAAAATTTTGGGAAAAAAAATGTACAAAGAGTTTAGATCATAAAGGTTAAAATAATACCACAGAAGACATACAAATTTAAGCTTCAAAAATGTGTACTAAAAATTTAGTACAGAAAAAATCTCTAACAAGTTGGCCTATATGTATATTCCTCCAGTTTTTAGCTCCCCTAATCTGAGTTTTCGATTATTATCAACGCTGCCCTCACCTTCTGTGATGCTTCGGCTACATTGGCGGCCACTTGCTTGGCATTTGCAGCTGCAGCGTTCGCCTGTTGCACGGTGCTATCGATGGCTTGCTTAGAGTGATCAACAGCGGCTTGAGCCTGGCTCACACCAGAATTCACGGCCTGACCGGCTTTTTGGGCTTCAGCAGCTGCCAACTCGGCGGCTTCCTTGGCTGTAAAGAACAATTTTGTATGAGCAAGCGTACAGAACTATGAATTGATTAAGCCAGAAGAAATTTCAAAATATTGTTTCGGATACTAGTAATTTCAATTTACCTGCACCAGCTGCCAAATTTTCCGCCTCACTCTTGGTCTGCTGCACCGATTGTCCTACGGCCTTGGCCTGCTCTTCGGCCATTTTAGCGGCATTGTCAGCCTTCTCTTTGGCCAGCTTCTCAACATCTTCCTTCTTGCGGCTGAAGAGGTTGGCGGTCTTGTCGCCCAAGCTTTTGAGGGAGGCTAAAAAGTTAGAAAAAAAACAAAAGTTAATTTTTAAGGAACATTTTTATTACAATTTCTAAATGTGTGCATGTACTATATTGCATAAAAACGAAATTTAATAAAGTATTCTAAGCTGTCTAAGAACTCTATGGAGCACATTCATATTTACTATAGGTTTTGGAAAATATATTTGTGTGTACTAAAAGTGTGCTAAAAATGTATGATGAACGTGCTTTAAAGCTTTGTCTTCACAATGGAAAATACACATGTTATGAATTCTTTCAAAGCATGCATAAATATTGGCAGTTTCATTGAAGTAACAAGGAAATAAAAATTATTTATAACTACAATAAATTGTGTACTATAAGCATAAAAATATTTAAACTCGAAAAGTCTAGGGAAATATGTTTGAAATTTTGTTTAGCGGAATTATTAAAAAATGTCAGCTGTTTACATGTGTTAACTTTAAAAAACTACAGCTTCAGAGTTTTTTCATAAGAATTGTACGGAAAACTATTGAAAATGCTGTGAAACTCTGGGATGCGGTTCCATAAAATACTAAAACTTAAAAATATAAATCTGTACTAAATATTGCGTACTAAAAATTCTACTGCATAAAGTTTGTTCTAAAAATTTGCTACACTTAAAAATCTAAACTTTTCTTCCTAAGCCAGTAACAAAAGTTTAGCACTAAAGCTTTGGAAGTGAAAGGAAAGGAAAAAAATTACACCGAAGACTTGGTGCTAAAAAATTTAATGCAAAAATATGTTTATTTAAATACATGAGAATTTGTGCATTAAAAATTTTGTTCTAAAAATTTTTAATTTATTAAAAAAATGTGTGCTTAAAAATTTGCACTACAGTTAAGTACCTAAAGCTTGGGTCCCAAAAGACAGTACCAAAAGTTTTGTTCTAAACCTTTGGTACTAAAAACTGAGGAACAAAAATTTAGTACTAATTGATTAAATGCAAAAATATTTTGATTTGAATAAAAACAAAAATTTACTAAAAATTTTGTTTTAAAAATACTAAATTTATTATAAATGTATGCTTAAAATTTTTCACTGCACCTAAACTTTGAGTCCCAAAAACCACTACTAGAAACGTAGTACAAAATCTTTAGTATGTAACAAACAAACAAAAAATTTTCACCGAAAATTTACTACTAACCATATAAAATAATTAATTTAAACGCTGAAGATATGAAATCTTTCGTACTAGAAATTTTGTTCTAAAAATTTTGAATCTACTAAAAAATTTGTAATATATGTTTTAGACCACACTTGATTGCCCAAAATTTTAGACGCAAAAGCCTGTTCTAAAAGCTTAGAATTTAACTTTTAGTATTGGAGGCTGGGTGATGGAAAATGTAGGCTGGCAATTTAGTACTAAAAAGTTTTATAAAAAAAAATTTATATTAAAATTTGACGCTGATACTGAAAATTTTTTCCAAAAAAAACTTCTAAAAAGGAAGAAGCTACTAGAAAAATGTCTAGAAAAAAAATGTTAACTTGGTTAACAAAAAATTACACTGAAAATTTAGTGCTACAGAACGCTGCCCATAAATTTTGTTTTAGTACCATAAACCCAGGATGACTATGCAAATGTTGTGGAGACTAATATCAGACAGATATTAAAACGGACTACTCCTAACTCAAGCTGGACACATTTGCAAAGAAGGTAGTCTACAGTTTCCTGTTTGTTTTTGTACTTCAGTATCTACAGAATTCACTGTAGGCGATGTTCGGCCTTCTGCCGCGTGTAATAGTCGGCCGATGCCAAGCTCAGCAAATTCAGTCTGGGTTTTTCGAGTAAATTAAATGTTCTTTTAGGGTTGCATAACGCGAACAGCAGGCATTCAAAGATGGCTTACTTTGTCAGACTCGGCCAAAATCCCTTAGGCAGTTAAAGTACCAACCAATAAGAGGAAGAACAAGATTCAGAAAAGGGTTACATTTTGGAGCCATGACATTATGATTCTAGGCGGAGGTATCAAATTCTCGACGTATGGCGGCCGCTGTGGTGTAGTGGTTAGCAAGCAGTGCGCACTACCATTCCGAAGAGCTAGGGCACCCTAATATAAGATCAGACGTAAGGCTACTGTATATACAAGATATCTAGAATAAAACTTTTTGGCTAAGGCCCCACATTTTCCCGAAAAGGCACTCACAAGAGTAAAAGGTAAAATTTTACTCTTTAACCTATACTTATTTTTCAAATTAGCTCGGGATATGGTAGTATGTCTATTAGATATTTGTTCGTTTTTATAATCGTTGAATTTTTCTATTCAAATTTAGTCCTTCAAAGCTGAGACCTTATTCCTGGCCGTTAAAAGTATTAGTTCTTGCTTTTCTGGGTCAACTTTAAGAACACCTTAGTCAGCCCATCGGCTGAGTTTTCCTAGAGTTCTGTCCATAATGCCGCATTTTTCGTAGTTGTTTTCTTTGCAACTTTGAATGAGTAGCACAATGTCATACACATTTTTTTTGTCTTTTAATTTGATTTCGAATTTCATGCTTTTTAAACGGAGTTTTTTTGTACTGCTTATCGTATTAAGCTAACAGCCGGTTTCGCCAGTAATTTAAATGGAAAATGATTTTTTGTTTTCTGTCAATTTCCACATAAAATTCAAAATATTAAAATTATTTTTCACTTAAATTGCTTTGGTGAAACCGCCTGTAAGAATTTTCTTTTTAATTTTACTCTTTACAACATTCCTCAGCAAACACTATCTTGATTTTTATTACCCGTGCAACCGCTGAATGCCATTTTTTACAACGCCTTATTTCTCACTACACTAAATGGAAAAAAATGAGTCACTCTCCAATATAAACCGAATATGTACACACAAAATATTCCTTGAACGTCCTCAGTGAGTGAACCACCTTCGATTGCTGTTAAACGCGAACTAAATCGGCGCTTTCTAACTTGATTTGCCACAACAATGGTGAAAAAAGGCGAAACTTGATTCTAAATGCTTACTTATATATATATTAAATGCTATATATACCTAGCTATTGTGGCTTCAATGCATACATAGGTGAAGCGTAGGTAAATTACAAGTATTTGTTATTTTTTTTTTTACTACTATTTTTTCCTAGTTTAATTCGTGCTTTTATTATTATGCACTTTTTTCGATTTTATTTTTATAAATTTTTTGAAACGCCAATTTAGCGTGCCAATGAGACAGGCCAAGCGGCGAATGCGCTGGAGCATGAGAGATTGAACTAATTAGTAAAGAAATGTGGATACACAGGCACACCTACCATACCTACATACATATGTGTATACATTAGACCGTACCAGAAAAAAAAAGAAATCTATTTTGGTTTTATTTTTGTCGAACGTAGGGGTCACGTGTTACATTTTTAGTCATATCTTGTGATACACTGATGTTCCTGCCTCGAAAATACAATTTCTTTTGTTCTATAGTTCAGTGACCAAGTACCTTGTTGTAGTACTTACCTCTCAATTCTTATCACTCTTACGTACCACCCTAATGTCAATAAATTAAAACTCGCCTAAAATCATTAAACTTTTGCTAACGAAGTATTTCGTTTATTCTAGTAGAACTATTCTAAAAAGAAACTGCCGTTTTTTCGTTTGCTTGTAGCGTGAACGCCCTAATATGCATAGAGGTAAAGGAGACAAGTTTTTGTTTGGGTGAATTGCTAGCTGTCATCTGATGCTCAGAAGCTGTGAAAATTCGGAGTTTTAGAATAATTTGTAAACTAATTAAAAAAATGCCAACTAGAAACTACGAAGCGACATTTATTAAGACCGACTTGTTTTCAGACTATTAAATAACAAAAAAAAACCTTTTTTTAAACAAACAGGAAAAAAGCAATTTTTTCGGATTTGGCTTCGTATTTTGATCGGCATACAAAAATGTTCACGAAGTAATTACAAAACACAAATTACAAATAAGTTATACTATATATATATGTATATGTAGACTATTTTGTTGCTGTCACTTTTTTTGTAAAATTTAATTTTTTTGCTGATGTGATTTGTATTTCAAATCCGTTTAAACAGCTTGACTAATGATCATAATAATGCATAACTTACCTATTATAAGATATATGGAATTTTATCATTTTATCTTCTAAATATTATTTTTTTGTTTTTTTTTGTTAACAAATTTAACAAAAATTAAAAAAAATTAAAATAAATAAAAACGACATTAAAATGTGTTCATTAATCCTTAACGTTCATTCTTACAATGCAGATTTAACTGATATTTGGCAGAAAAAAAAACAGTTAACTCTCAAAATTAAAATGCATTAAAATTTATTATTGTGTTTAAACTAAAACACTTCATTATCGGTTTTAAATTGGTTTACAACCAAGAAACAAGCATACGTCAGAAGCCGATAACATAAATATTTAAATTTAGGCATAGTCTTTAAACATAAAGTGAGCTTTAACATTAAAGGATACTTTAGAAAACGGCTCTTAGACGATAAACAATATCGTTAAAATTAAACTGAAGCATTAATGATGCTATTCAGGCAAACTTACGAGTCTCCTAGGGGAGGATGTATACAGTCGCACGATTATCAAAGAACAATGGATTCTTGAATCGAGGCCGTAATGGGGCTAAATAACACCGGGGATGGAGTGTTTTGTGCCCGCTTTAATGGTAAGAGCTGACAGCCTAGTTGATAAAAAGTATGATGTGTTGTTTTCCCTGTTTTAGTCATGGCAGAGCAGGCCGCTTTGCACTTCATATAGGTACATTCCACTTTCACCACTACGGAAGACGGTAGGATTGCCAATCGTTTCCTGCAAGATCTTATTAAGGGAACATTGCCTTCAAGCAGCGGGTACCAGATATAAACGCACTGAAATCTGCAATACAACGAAGCTTTTGTAGTCGAAATTGAATATAAGAAGATCGAGAGAAATTCTCACTTTCAATAAAGTCAGTCGCAATGACTACAGCAGGAGCCTCCACGACGAAGAAGAAATTGAATCAATCAGGCACTTACTCTGCGATTACCCTGCACTATTGCAAA